TCCTGAGGACATAGTATAAGGATTAGGTGGGGGGGGGGGGATGTAGGGATCTCAGCTAAAGAAGGACGCTCACTGCTGTCTAGGACAAAGGGGAAGCCACTCATTCTGATCTACTTGGGAAAGAAGAAGGAGAAGCTGAGGATTGGAGGAAAGAGCGTTCCAGGCTCAACACATGAGGAATTATTTGTCGTCAGTGCTGTCCAGGTCAATCCCGCCAGAGGCAGTACTGGAGCACTGGAAGTAAGGGGTGACTTCCACTGGCAGGCCACAGGAACTGTGAAGAAAGTGTAGAGATCTGATCATCTGTGTGCTGCAGGCATAACTGGAGGGTTCTAATACTTAGCCACCTTTGGAGCCTCAGGGTGGGTCAGGAAGTTGCATCTTCAGCCTTCAGGTCCCACTGGGGAGTTGCCCCAGCCAGAGCACCCTTGTAGCTTGAAGAGAAACTTTCCTTCCCACTCGTTTTCAGACCTCCTCCTTAGCGGGTCAGATCTGAAAGGGAGAGAATTTAAGGATGAAAGGGAGCTAAGAGTTGAGAGGAAAAAAGTTTTGGTGCACTGAGTTTTTAACTCCACCCATGTAGCATTCGCAGTCTGGTATAAGCCCCTGACCAGCCCCCCATTTCTCGGAATCCCTGCCTTAACATCTGTAGAGGGCTTGGAGTTTTTTCCCCAGGTTCCCAAGGGAGAAACCCTCCTTAGCAAGAGAGAGAGAGAAAGAAAAACAGAGGGGTTCGGCAGGTCTGAGAGTCCCACTGTAGCTAAGCCATGGTGTGTGTGTGTGGGTGGGTATCTCCTAGAGGACAGACTCCGCTGGAGTGCCAGATGATCATGGCCACTTCCTAGGCAGTCCCCTCCAGTTTAGTGCAACCTGTACCAACCTCAGGTGAAGAAGAAGTGTCACTTCATGGTTGTCAAGATGATACGCAGGGGAGCTCGGGTGGTGAGGGTCCTCAGTCCACTCTTAGATAGAAATCAAAGGCAGACTAGAGCAGCCAAATTCATTGAAGTTTTATTTGTAGAGATGAGAAATGAAAGGCTGCATGGGGTCATGTAGTGGGTCCCAGAAACCAGTGGTCTTCTGGGTCAGTTTGGAAATTGGGTTTTATAGCCTTTTTTATTGCCCAAGGGTGGAGATTTTGGTGGGATAGATGTTGAAGGAGAAGTGTCTCCTTGGTGTGAACAGATTATTTCTTGGGAAGGAGAAGGGGCAGTTTTCCCCCTGGCTAACTGATACCTTTTGGACTTCATGCAGTCCACTGCTTCACAAGCGTGCCTTCACACATGTGCACCCCCGTGCTGCAGCCCCTTTTGCATGGTACAGCTGCTGCCACTGCTGTTCCTGCAGTCACAGTTGCTGCACTTTACCACTGTGTGCGTCGGTGCCCCGGCTAGGTGGGGCTTCCAGCCCACTTTGAGAAGTGGGCTGGGGCCTGTGCCATATGTAGGCTCGAGGGGAATGGCTGGAGGATCATGCCCAGTGGCCATGGGCCCAGAGGCCCCACCAAATGGGGCTGAGCATCTCAGGGGTCCTGCCCCAGCAACGGCCCACTCTGCATTTCTGGACTGGAACCTCTGTCCTCTGAAGATGGGACTTCCGTCCTCCGGAGCCATGACCCCTAGAGATGGGACTTCTGTCCATCTCTAGGGGCAGGCTGAGAAAAACGTGTGCACAGAACTGCACACATGCATGTTAAACTTGAGCATGTTGGCACCATTCTGCACATAGGGCTGCCTACATGGTTGTCTCAACTGGCCAGCTGGGAAACTGTGCTCATGTGTCTTGGAGTGTGGGCCTGGAGTGGCCCACTGAGCAACCTTGCATGAGAGTCCTAAACTGCATCCTTGGCTCCCTCTATCGGCCAGCAGGGAATCTGCATTGCCTGTACCACCCCATGTGTGCTTGCCCCAAGGGTTGGCCCAGGAGGCTGTGTATGTATGCCATCACCAGGCCCCAGCGGCATCTGAGACACTGCTCAGTGCCACTCCCCTTGGCTGGGGAGGGGCAATTGCAAGGGGCACACAGCCTCCCAACCCACAGGTAGCAGTTTATTTGCTCCCTGTCTGTGACTCCCTCCCCTATTGTATAAGCAGCCATGCTTTCCCAAAGCAGGTGTCAGCTCCTCTGAAGCCAGTCTTTCCTGTTCTTTAAAAAAAAAGGAAAAAAAAAAGCGTGTGTGAGATGGGCTGACTGAGGTGTGCCTCTCATTTGTTGTTTTAAAACTGCCAGTTATGGGAGAAAGAAAAGAAGAGAAGAAAGGAAAGATGAGGGCAGAGAAACTCTGACAGGGAGGGAAGGTGCAGACGCATGGCAGCTGCAGGAAAGAGGCAGTGGCTACTTAAGGCAGTCCTGAGTGCCCTCCACCTGGGCCAGATGGTGAACTTGAACCCTGTGGCACTGCAGCACCTCTGTAATTCTGCCCTTCCCAGCTGTGTGTCCAGGATGTACCACAGAAGCTTGTGGGTACACATGGGTCCCACATGCCTCTTGCCACATGGGGCTGATCTAATAAAGGACATCCCAGCATCTACCAGGAGCATGCTGTGGGTGAGATGCTGATGTGTAAGGGGCAGAGAGGAATAGTTTAGGATAAAACAAATTAATAAACACAGCATTTTACCTTTTTAACGCCTGGCTGGCTCACCAAAAATGTTAGTGGTGCTGGTGCAGTCTGTGATCAGAAGATCTTGGTTTTTGTGCTCCAAATGGAAGAATACAAGGAGAGCATGTGGATGGGGTGAAGTAGAATAACTTTACTGAGAGAAGGGGAGTCATCTGTTCTGCCAGGTGATGAAAGGGAGGAAGAAGAGGACAAGATGGATGCAGGTGGAGTCTGCTGGGGGAGAGCGAGCTTTTCTTTTTCAAGTGCCTTTAAAACTATCCCATGGAAGGGCAGCCCAGGTTCCTACCCAGTAATGAATGAGTGGGGAGGGGCATGGGAGTTCCCAGCCAGGCGAGGGTGGTCTGGCCCATCCCCAGGCAACCTACATGAGCCCCAAACTTTTTCCTACTTCTAGCCTGCCTCACTTGGATATCCTTTCTGGGGAAGCGTGGCCTATTCAGAACAGCCTTTACTGGAAGTAAAGAGATGGGATCTAACCTTGACTCCTGCCAGCCAGATTTTTTGGGGTTATTTGTTTTTCTTTTGCTTTTAAGCTTATACTCTACCACTGAGCTACACCCCAGCCCCACACCAGCTATTCAAGTCAATTTTTTGTGTGTGTGTGGTAGGTACAAGGGTTTGAATTCTGTGCTTCACACTTGCTAGGCAAGGACTCTACCACTTGAGCCACACTCCTGGCCCTAGTTTCTAAACTTACCTAGCTGGGATAATGGGTTGTGTAGAGGAAATAAAGTGAAAAACATACCATGTGCGCAACATTTGAATCATACAGTTGCCGCCTGTAAGATGATTGTTATCCCCATTTTATAGGTGAAGAAATTGAATCTCAGATTAAGTAATTTGCCTAAAATCTCCTAGTAAATTAAGTGGTAGAAGAATTTAAAGCCCTTTTGTTGTGTGTGTGAGACTGGGGTTTGGACTCGGAACTTCACACTTGGAAAGCAGGTGCTCTACCACTTGAGCCACACCTCTAGGTACGTTTTTGCTCTGGCTATTTTGGAGATTCAGGTCTCCCACTATTTGTCCAAGTTGACCTCAAACCACAATCCCCCAGTCTTAACGTCCTAAGTAGCCATGATTTCAGGCGTGAGTCACCAGCACCACGCTAAATAAAGCCAATTTTTTAAGTCTCCATATTTTGTCCTTTTACACTATTATGAGTTTATGTTACCCACATATTGCCAGTTATCATATATATCTCTCTAATTTTATCTAAATATAGGTATACATATATATGTATATATTTTTTAGCAGTTCTGGGGTTTGAGCTTAGGGCTTCACACTTGCTATGCAGGTAGATACTCTTACTGCTTGAGCCACTCTGCCAGCCCTGTATTTTTGTATTGGGTATTTTTAAGATAGGGTGTCACAAACTGTTTGCCCAGGTTGGTCTTGAACCATGATCTTCCTGATCTCTGCCTCTGGAGTAGCTAGGATTACAAGTGTGAGCCACCAGCACCCAGTTTATATTTGGGTTTTTATTTCATGCATTACTCATAAACCCTCCTTCCTTTCTGCAGGAAATGCACAGAGTACTAGTATGGTCCAGCTGCCAGGTGGGACATTCCTGATGGGAACAAATGCTTCTAATGGCAGAGATGGCGAAGGGCCTGTCCGAGAGGTGACAGTACAGCCATTCACCATGGACATATTTCCTGTCACCAATAAAGATTTCAGGTACATCAGGGAGATTTTGGGAAGGTAAAAGGGGTTTCTAATCTTCATTTCTGGTATCTGAAAGGAACCTACATTGCTCATCGGCACATCCCATTAGTACTGTGGCACGTGTCCTCTACATTGTTCAGGTGAAGCATCTGAAGGTCACAGCAATTCAATCCCCAGTACCACCACTAAAAAATAAAAAAACAGCAAACCCAACTCCTCTACTCTTCTGTGGGGCAGGGTGTGGGGAGAATGGGAGAAGAGTCATAAAGTCTGAGACTCTTAGATTCCCTTTTTATTTGTAAAGGAAATAGCATTGTAGCTTGAGCTTGCTCTGAGAAGCTGTGTTGAATTGCCTTAGTTTTCCCAAAGGCTTAATGTTTTAGAGGGCAGGGCAGGCAAGGCAGGGCAAAAGAGAAAACGAATTTCATTGGATTATGGGCACAGCTTATGGTGGAACACTGGCTGTTTTGCCAGCATTGAGGCCCTGAGCAAAACCCCAGTACTGCAAATAAATAAATATCTTTGGGAGGGATAAGGTAGGGGAAGAATCTGGAACAATGTATTTTTTACTTGGTGTGATAATAGACAACTTTTCCTACCTGTACTTACAAATTTTTCAGGAATACAATGTGTATTGCTTGTGTGTATTTGGTTTTTTTTCTTGTTATGTAGCTCAGCCTGGCCTGCAACTCCTGATCCTGCCTGGTCCTCCTGCAGGCTGGCATTAAAAGTATTTGCTTTAATAGGTAAGTTATTAAAATTGAAGGGTAGCCAAGAGTGCACCCATGATCCTGGCCATTTGGAAGGCTGAGGCAGAAGGGTCCCTCAAGGCCAGCCTAGGCTGCAGAGTAAGACTCTGTCTCTAAATAAATAAATAATATTAAATAAATGAAATAAATTGGGTCATTGTACCATATCATAGCAAACAGAAATAGCTAGATAAATGTATAGTATTCATTCTTTTATATTCCAAATTATGAAAATGCATCAACTCCAGCAATTCCCTACGTTTTTCTTGTTACCCATGATTTGTGTGTGCTTCTGATTTGTGTATGCTTCTGTGTGAAAGGCTCTTAGACCATTCGCATGCCCTGGGGCTGTCACCTCCTC